CTTTACTGTTGTACAAAGTCAAGATAATTCTCATACATTGTTAATACCCAGGTATGAATAGATCTTCAATAATTCAGCTAGCTTGTATTTAAATAACAATAACAACGGACAGATGACTAGAGAGTACTATGTCTTCCTTTATACATGTTTGTTGTAGATACTTTTTTTGTTTTTATTATACTGATTTTAATACATATTAATAAATACCACTTTATAAAGATCAAAGATCTTTAGTACAGACATTAAACATGTAGATGAGTATTTAGGGATTGTGTTGTGCAGTTGGCTTCTCCTGAAGACATTTCCAATGGTGCAAACATAAGTGGCTTTCAGCCCAACTCCAACACAAAAATGGTCAGAGCAGTAAAAATGTGCAATTTCCTTCCTTAGTTAGGTGTATCAGATGTATTGATGAACTCAAAAAAACATTTATATGCAGTATATACTGTATATTGTGTCACGTACCTGATTGGAGACTTAGCTGAATAGGGGGCTACTCTTGCACCACCAGTTCAACTCTTCTAAAGATGGTAACAGGTGAGAGGAGGACTCATGGAGCCACAAGTGCTGAATAGGTGGTCTGCAGTTTGAGTGCATTGACCAGGGTGATGCATCCACAGGAACTGGTGTTGTGGGAACTTGAGGTACCACGCATTGCAAGGTCAGAGTGGAGTTGAGCTGGTAATCGTGGTTGAGGTTACAAGCTGGGATCTGATGGTCAAAAGCAGGATCAGGTTCACAGGCAGGAGTCTTAAGGTGGCCATACACTTTACAACCATCGCAAGATGGTTTTCAGCTGGTTTTCGAACATGCTCCTTAGACAAAAGACGTGTGACCGTACAGTGAAAGCGGTTGCACGCCTGCCATACACTTTGCGATTATCGCACGATTTCCCACGATTATTGTGCGATAATCGCACAGTGTATGGGCACCTTTACACGGGTAAATCTGGAGCTCAGATGAAGTACCAAATCGGAAGTCCAAAAGCAGAGTCGAAGACGTCAGCCAGGGTCAAAGACAGGTAACTAGAGTCACAGGAAACGAATAGCACAGGAACAAGGAAAAGCTGAAGACTTGCCAGCAACTGGCTCAGTCCTCACACTGATTCTTATAGGCCATCCGGCACCACTGATGTATGCACGTGTGCATGCTGAGGTCTGTGGTCAACGTTTCTGGTGTGTTTGCACATCATTATGCGCACACGTTCGTGTACATTTTTGCATTCATCTTCGCACACATTTCTGCTCACATGGGCGCGTGCCGGGATACCACTATGCACGCCACCACTGGCTACAGCATGTCTGCCCATAATCCTTAAGACAGGGCTGTGCGCGTGTACACATACTGGCCTCTTAGTGTGTACCTTACATAAAGGTTGAACTGGATGGAACTGTGTGCGTCTTTATTCAACCTTACAAACTACAGTATGTAACATTTTTGTCCACAGAATGGTTAGACTTCTGTCAAATGTATCAGATGTGTACTGCTCTCTGTGTCTCCAGTGGGGAGATTTAATTTTACTTCGTCTTCTGGTGATACTTATGTATCTCCCTGATAGGGACAGTGGCAGCAACAAAAGCGCAAGTGTTTAGTAGAGTGGGGAAGGTTAAAACATCTGTTGTCTTCTGTCTTCTGGTCATGGTGACATCAATTTCCCACATTTCTTATCCAAGCATGACAGGGACAGGAAGTGAGGGGAATCATACTAGTGTGGACAAGGACAGCAATAAAAGCTATAGAAAAGTTTAGACCCTTCCTCAGTCTGTCAAAATGTTTTGACTGAAGTTGGGTTTTAAGCCATAGCCATAGTCAGATTTTACCATTCACCACTCAAAACTGGTGCTTACTGGTTGGTTGATGCTGTACTTGATGTTGGTTACATGTTTAGCTGAAGTACTGAGATCTTGAGGAACGCTGAATTAAGTTTTACTTAGGAGAACATTATATCAGAATACAGCATTATACAGCATACATACTGTATATAAAGAGAGAACTTCCTGTGTATCATAGATAAGTATACATAGACATAGAGACAAACATTGCACTGCAGTGCCAGCTACAGCTCAAAGGACAATTTTACATCTCTGAAAGTCAGTAATACAATCAGTATGCTGTTGCATTTCCAACACCCCTTCTCAACAGCATATGCATTGCTATATGACGTTTAGCTTCTCCTGAAGGAAACTGTGATGATCCTTTGTCAATGGCTTGGTGAGTGCATCCACAGTCATTTTTTCTTCTGCTGCCTGTCTCCATTGATTGGCTTCGTGTTTCGCTAACTTTTTGAGTATGTGTCTTAGCAGTACATGACAGCTTACAGGGCGGTATTCCCTTTGTTGCCCAAGTGAATCTTCTCATTTCAGGTTGTTCAGCAGAATCTAACATGGAACATGACTTATCCATTGTGAGTTCCACCTCTTGTTCTGATTCCTGTGCGGACACTTTGCTCAGCCTCCTTTGCTGGTTCACTGGGCAGATTTACTTCACAACTTCCCGGGATCATTGTTTCTGGTGATGGATTCTCATAGAAATAAACGCTGCAGCTTATTGTCACTTCGTCAGTCTGTGGGTTTAGGATTCTATATCTCTACTTTGCTCACTATGGCCCATCATAATACCTTCAATGGCTGTGTTCTCCAATTTGGATTGCTTCTCTTTTGGATTATAGGTGTAAGCTTTACATCCAAACACTCTGATGTGCCTTAGGCTAGGCTTTGATCCATGCCACATATCAATTGGCGTGCTTTCAACAGCTTTTTGAAGGTAGTCTGTTCTGTAGGTATGTTGCAGTCATGACTGCTTCTCACCAGTACTTCTTAGGCAGGTTGGCATCTGACAGCATGCATCTGGCCCTTTCTATAAGAGTGTGATTTCTTCCGTTCTGCTACACCATTTTGTTCAGGAGTGTATGATGTGGTTGTCTGGTGTACTAAACCTTGTTTCTTCAGGTAGGATTCCACTTCCTTACTGATGTATTCCCCTCTGTTGTGGGTCCATATAATTCCTGGTTTTCGTTGGAATTTGTTGTTGGACATAGCTACAAACTCTTGAGGTTTTTCTGATGTTTCTTTCTTGTGTTTGATCAGATAAGTTGTTGTGTGCCTGGAATAATCATCAATGAAAGTCAGTAGATATCTGTTCCCTCCTGATGTGGGAGTTTTCATTGGTCTGCACACGTCACTGTGTGTGAGCTCCAAGGAGATCTTGAGGAATACTGAATAAAATTTTACTTGCTTAGGAGAATATTATATGAGAATACAGCATTGTACAGCATACATATATACAGATAGAACCTCCTGTGTATCATATATAAGTATGCATAAGCATAGAAACTAACATTGCAATACAGCGCCATCTACAACTCAAAGGACAATATTACATCTCTGAATGCTGTTGCATATCCAACACTTTATACCCCACGTTTTGCCTTTTATGCAAACTGAATGTGTCAGAACAAGAATATCATAATATAAATATTACCAATATCCATACAACTGTTTTCTCCAGACCTTGCTTGGCTACATATCCAGTTTTGTAAGAGAAGTTAAAAATATTCAGGTAGACGGACTATTTATACCTAAGTTTCAGATACTTGTCCATTCTACTGAAAAACACTGAATTTGGTAATAGATAACCAGTTTTGCAGTAAACATGATGAAAGCTTTGCATGTTTTCTTGGTTGAGTGCATAGAGTTCACTAAAACACTGATTAAAACTCCTGAGCCCTATGGGTGGTCACATCATCAGCATCATAAATAGTGTGCAATGCTGTGCTGAACAAAAGAGCTGCAAGCATATATTCTGTTTCTCTAGCCACATACTAATTTGTCTGTGGATGACAAAGACGCCATTCACAATACAGACAAATCTTACTCATGTCTCTTTGATTGTAGAGCAGTTGAAAAAAAAAAAACCTCCCAGATTTCTTAAAGATTCACACAGTGTGAGCGGGAAGCCGAGCCATAGACTTCTTGGGAATCCGATATGCATCAAATGCTGCTGATAAATGTTCTCTTTAATGGTTACTGCCAAAATAAAACATAATATGATCACAGTATGTACTGTATATTTATCATGTGTTGTCAACATGTGATCTTTGACTATTGTCAGTCTTAAATGTTGGCGGTATGTGCCAGATGGAGATGTGACATACAATTGATGTGAGTTACGGTCCAATGACAGCTGGAGATGTTGGCCGTCCTTCCCTTGCTTTACACAATAAGCCTGCATAACGAATGTCTATACTTAATGAGATTTGTCAAGTTCCACACTGCCAACACTCGCAAAGCATCATGAATACCTACTGTAGGCCCCGTCACCTGAATATACACATGGTTCTGCAGCAGATTTTAATCTCTGGCTGCTTGTTGAAAGGAACCTAGTAGCACTACAGCCAACATCAAAACCCTTACTGCTCCGAACTTCCCCTTCAAGTAAGTAAATATCGTGCTGATTAAACCCAAACATATAAATGTCGAAATGTCTTTCAAGCACACATTGCATTCTGCATTAAATTACCATGCTCAAGACTTGTCCGTTATGGAATCTGGTGACGTTTTTAGAGGCTTATTGGCACAAGAGCGTTTCCTTTCAGCTCAGCTTGGCTTTGGTTTATGTGCCTCGACTGCCAAAAATAGGTGAAATATAGAAACTTACACTCTCTCTTTTCGCTTCCTACTCACTATCCCACACACTGGGAATCATTTATCGTATGCCAGGTTGGGTTGATATTGCACACGTGATATCATTATAACTGCATCAGTATTGTTTTTAGTTGCGTTTAAGTGTTTTATTTTTTCACCACGTTTATGCTTTATAGTTTACCTAGTTCTCAACAATTAACAATCAGTGTGTTTTTGGCAAATGCTACATTGTATGGTTTTAATTCTGCTTACTGTATGAATTACATTTTAAGGCAGCCATTATTCTCTATACTTATGTCAGATTTATTTTCTGGATGTTTTAATACAAGGGCTTTTTTTTTTTTTACATTTTTGCAGGTGTGCAAGAAGCCATAGTAGTGTGCTTGAACAAGCAGACAGGGGTAGCAATGGGTGAAAGTCTGTGTGTGGCCAGCAAACGACCTCCACCCCTATTAAAAACTTGCAATATGGAAGCATGTCCGCCAAGGTAAGTGCACTTTATGTCTTTCTTTATCAAATGTTTGTTTGCAACATTGTTGTTAATTGATATACTGTATATGGTGTATATTATGCTGTAATTTTGTAATATTCTCAGTCTAGATTATAATCTTTATCATGAATAAGTGCTTATGTGACATTTTAAGACTGGTCATCTGTAAATGACAGTATACCACACATCTGTATTGCCAACTATTGCTATAACAGTAACAGATTTGTGACTATGAATTTGTTAGAATGCAGTCTCATGCCATATGTAGTGGTTTCAAATGGCTCACCAATTATTACATTTCCTTTCTCTAAGAACAAATGTTAAAGCCCAACTAAACTTTTTGGGCTTTTAGGGGACAAATACAGGCGTATTGGCATACAGTGCATAACACGCTGGTATTTGGGGTGCATTTGTGGTGTGGAAGCCCCAGCTGCTGTGCTTTTCTGTTCATAGGAATGTATGGACAGAAAACACTGTATAGGGGTGTAGGTGCACAAATGCTGGTACCGGCAATTATATGCGCACAGGTGTAAGTTCCTGAATGTGGAAGTTTCATGTTTGGGAAACTTCTGCATTCAGTAATTTGCTCCTGTTGCTTGTGATTATTAAGACACTATTTTTCAAGCAAATATTCTGCCTACCAGTATTTGTACGTTTATATGTTTTTTGTTGTATTGAATATTACATCTTAGGCTACATTCACATTAGCCTTCTGCGTTTAGGCTAATAAATTATCTGGGAACTATAAACAAACTATATGCAAACTTTATACCCAGATCAAGTTCTCCTGTATTTAAACATACTTACCTTTACTCACGTTTACATATGTTTAAATCCATTAGAGTATCTACTTTCTGGCGTGGACACACCACATAAATTAAGGCTGGAGTTAGATAGCAGACACCATAAGATGTCACAACATAATTGTATTTTGACAGTCCACCTTGCCAGAGGTCTGCCACCAAAGCTCCCGCAAAAAATCAAGACTTCCCTGTGATGTAAAACTGCATCTATGGGCAAAACTTTAGTTTTTTAATCTGGATAGAATAGGAAATCATTCAAATTCCTTTCAGATTTTTTTTTTACTGAATGCCCAATTAAGGATATTCACCCCTCCTGCGAGCTAAACAGAAGTGAAAAGAAATACAAAATTGTGTGGTTGTCAAAGAAAAAGGCAAATGTTTAAACAGGGACACCTGTGTAAGGGGTTCATTTTCAAAAGTTATAGTAGGCCGGGCGAATGCGTTGCACACGGCACTAGTGGCCCTAGATGGTGTTGACAAATTTAGGAATCATAGGCATATAGCTGGGCGTAACTTTTATAAATGAACCCCTAAGTGTCAATCTGGGATTTTCCCTCATTCTGAAAAGATTACCTCTCACTTCCTGTTGTGTTTTCAGGACAGAAAATAAATAGTAATCTCCCCATTTGAACAAAGACAGTAAAATTAAGGATTTCAACCATTAACAAAATATAATGTAACAAAACCTTTGTCACCTCAGCTCCATAGTAACCAGGTTTTGGCTATTAAGGGATTATGTCCCTTTAACCCATTATTACCTGAGGCAGTTTGTTGCTTTTTATGTGATTTTTTTCTTACTTTTTTCCAGACAGCTAAAAGTGTCTGGACAGAGGCCAGAATCTAGGAAAAAAAGATGCCGTTTCTTATATATATGAAAACTGTTTTACCTGCCAAAGGATTTGTATTTATTTCAATTAATTCCTGAGATTTACACAGTCCTGCCCCATAGCACAGTCAGGTGAATTATACCACTAACTCTGTTACAGTTAAGGAATACACTACTGACATCACCCTGCTTCCAACTTGCTGACTGAACAGTGAAAGAGCAGAAGCAGACTAATAAGTTCAACTCTCTGCCCACTCTGCTCCCTCCTGTTATTATCATGGTACTTGGCACAACTTCTGAATTCTTGTCTTTTTATATTATATTTGAACATGGGTTTTACCTAGTATGTGAGTATTTAAAGGAGCAAATGTTTTATGTGGCAGGAACCCTGTAGATATAAGAAATTACCTTCAGGGATGACATTCTCTCTTAGTAAATTTGTACTTATTATTTAGATCATGCACTAAAAAATAATAAGCTTTACTTATGCTACAACCCATGGATCCCACTCTTGAAGTGGCCACCCACTGTTGAAACATATGTAGCGCTCACCCCCGAAGGAGCTGCTGGCTATGAATTAGATTCTCCTACCTGTTTTGCCAGGCAAAAGCCATTTTGCTTAGCTCCAGCAATGCCGACACTTTTAGGATAGAACAGGCTCGAGTCGTAGGGTCTTTTTAGTATTCATTGCTCAGTATCAACTAGGAAAGAGGGTTAGGGTTGCAGGATACCCGAGGAACAAAAATAGAGGACAGTGTCTTCATCATTAGCAACAGTAGTGAAAGGTAGCAAAAGGTCCTATGACAGTGACCAGTGATAGATAGTAGCACCAGACAACAGCCAGGAACACTCCAAAACTCTGAAGGAGAACAGTCACAGGACTTACAGTGCACCAACTGACTTATCTTCTGTGTAATATCTGAGTGTAGGGTGAGGGATCTCTTACAGGGTTCAGAAGGCAGCTCTCACCAGCTCCTCTGCGACACTCCTCAGTAATAGACTCTTCCTCCAGTCCATCTTCCATCAGGTTTCCTATCAGTAGCATCTTAGGCCTCTTAGTCCCCAGGACCTGCCACATGCTGAGGCCTAAGCCAGGCATCTTGTAACACACAGACCTCCTCCCAGGGAGAAGCCTCAGGGGAGAAAAGGAAGGTGTACCCAAATATTTATCACCTTCCTCTAGCCATACCTCTAAATGAGCCTGCTCAAGGATTGGTCAGAGATACAGTAGATGCATATTTATAATCTAAGGATTGATCCTCCCACACTGTATGCTGAGGCCCCTACCCAGCAACAGGTACAAACAATGCATCTACCAGACTTTGGGAAACCTGCAGATTTCAGAGCAATCAGCATCCAGACTGACTACAGTCTAGATATAATACTAAATTTAATAGTGACATAGCAGAGGGTGCTACACATATATGTTTAGCTATCAAAATTTCTAGGGACCCTCACCCTCCAGATATGGATAATTCTAGCCCACATGCATGGAAACTGTCAAAAATGTAAACAGTCTTTATTCATAGATATCCACTGGCCTCAAATCAGAGTGATCCTGGTTGAATCTCAAGCTTGGTGGATCAATTCATTCATACTGACCACTTTTTTATGTTCTGAAAAGTATTTGTGATTGATAAAGATTGACCCATATGCATTTTCTTTTGGAAAAGCTTTATAGAGTCTCACAAGGAAATTTAGTTGTTCTAGATTTACAACCGGTGTCTTTGTAAAAGAGGACCACATATGGAATATGTGGGTTACTTTACAAACTTTCTTTGAAAAAAAAATGCAAGGTAATCAAATGGCAACTTTTACGCTTAAATCATAAAACATGCTGCAAATATGTGCCTAATCCACTAACAGAGTTTCCTGTTGTTTTAAGTGCTCAAGCATTTGTAGATTTAACAGTTTTCATCTGCTCTAAATAAACTCATGTTACCTAGAAATGGTAGAGTAGAAATTATTCTAAATGTGTTTTTTAAGTGCAGCTCTCAAGGCTATGAGAAGGGCATAGTCTTGCTCTTGAGATAAGCTACAAATGTGTATTGAATAACACAAAAAAGCTAGCCAAAACTTGTTTAGTGGGAAAGGGTTTACTTCTTTCTCTGTTAGAGAAATTTACTCTTATTTCCTGCCCTACTAATAATGTATCACCAGACAGGAAGTGAGGGGAACTTTCCCACAGAACAGACACAAATAAAAATACTTTTCTTCTTCATTCGTTATCAATTCTTTCTGGCTATGTATTTCTATTGCTGTATTCCACTGTGAACATGAAAAATGTAAATAATTAATTCATTTAAAAAATGCTTTTCCTTAGTAGAGAAGGAGAAGGCTAAAATCCCTATTAGATTTATATTTATGTCTAGGCCCCTATGCAGATTTTCTCTCACTTCCTGTCTGGTAAACTGTGTTCAGCAGGACAGGTAGTAAAGGTAAATTCCTCTAATGGAGCCCCAGATCAGGGGCGTAGATAAGGGGGAGGGTTAGGGGGGTCCAAACCCCCCCCCCCCAGAGGGTATAGGAGGGGAGGCGGGGGGGGGGCTGTTTGTATTATCTGTGATTAGTCCAAAGTCCACTGTGTTGCAAAGTCCAGAGTCTAGTGCTTTCCTATGCCCCAAGTCTAGTGTGTTCCTAAGGGTCTGTGCACACCTAGACGACACATCACCGCACGTCAATCGTGCACGATTCCGCCCAGTCAGTAGTCGCCTAGGCGTGCACCGATCGTGCTGTAGGTGTGCCATTATTTTCTAATTGCAACCTAGTCGCGCCGGGCGGATTGCGCTAAAAGAGCCACGCGTTGTTTACCTTTTTTCTGCGATTGCTGTACAGATGTCACCCCATTGAAATCAATGGGGCCGCACGGCAATCGCGGCCTGCATTGTGCAGGACCGTGCGATCCCAGGACTCGCGTTCCCGGATCGTGTAGGCCTGCACCGGGCCTGAGCCTACTGCATTCTAAGTCCAGAGTCCAGTTCGTTCTAAGTCCAGAGTCCACAGTCTGTACTGGAGGGCAGGCTCATAAAGAGAACCTGTCCCCTCCAAAAGCTATCACACAGGAACTTGTTAACCCCTGTGCGATAGCAATATAGTTAAGTGGGAAAAAATAAAAGAAATTAAAATTTAAAAAAATGATAAAAAGTAAAAACACAGAAAACATTATTAATGATAATAATCCGCAGAGCCCAACTTGAGACCCCCACAGCCCACCTGAGACCCCCACAGCCCACCTGCGACTCCACACAGCCCATCTGAGACCCCCACAGGCTACCACAAAACGTTTAGATTCTCCCCATGGTGGTGGTGTTGGGGAGTTCCCTCCTTTCAATAATATTGTACAGTTTATGGCTTTCATAGCAGCACAT